CGTGATTTTAGGAGATTTTTATATATTTGTGACATGAATTAACAATACTGGGAGTTTGTCATTTGTTTCCAGCTTTGTCTGATGTATATTTTATTGTACAGAAGTTACTTGATTTGTTTTGAGTCAGTCTTGCCCTGTGGCCCAGGCTGGAGTGCAGGTGCACGATCTCAGCTCACTGCAACCTCCGCCTCCCAGGTTCAAGCGATTGTCCTGCCTCAGCCTCCCACGTAGCTGGGATTACAGGCGCCCACCACCATGCCTGGCTAATGTTTGTATTTTTAGCAGAGATGGGGTTTCACCTTATTGGCCAGGCTGACATTTGATTTCTTTGTAGTCAGATATCTTAGTCATAGTTAGAAGGGCCTTCTGCTCTCCAAGGTTATATAAAGCAATTAGCCTGTGTTTTCTTGTAGTACTTTTGTGTTTTCTTCCTTTTCTTCTATTTTTATTTTTGTACTAAACATGCATTGTTTTTGTTAATAAAATTTGGTCAAATACTGAAGAGTTTAGTGTTAAAAATCAGATGAGGTAGAAGCGCAGTTCCCCATTATAGAATAAATAAAGTTCTAGGGCACCAAAGTTTTATTTATTTATGTTTTGAGACAAGGTCTCTGTCGCCCCTGCTGGAGGGTAGTGGCACGATCACCTCAGCCTCCCCAGTAGCTAGGACTACAGGCATGTGCCACCATGCCTGGCTAATTTTTGTGTTCTTTGCAAAGACCGGATTTCTCTATGTTGCCCAGGCTGCAAAGCTTTGTTTTAAAGACTTGAAAATATTACAATTTTGTGCAAGTTTAATAGTTATATTTAGAAAGTTTGATAGTCCTCTCGAAGAACAAGAGTTTCTCAGCACCATCAGCTGTTTGATTGCTCTCATGGTCCTTCTTCTATAGGTCCCTAAAACTAAATGACTCACTTTTAACTGAGGAGAGGCACTTTGTGTAAGAATAACCTTGAAAAGTATGCAGGACCTAATTGGAAGTAACTGAAAATTAAATACATTTCCAAAGGTGACTTTGTTTCACATATGAGTACTAAGAAGGCAAAAAGTTTTACAAAAATTAAAATAGATTTAATCTAGTTTTACTCTTCCATGGATTTTTCATTTTTTTAATTTTTGAGACAGTCTTGCTCTGTTGCCCAGGCTGGAGTGCAGTGGTGCGATCTCGGCTCACTGCAGCCTCTGCCTCCCAGGTTCAAGCAATTTTCGTGCCTCAGCCTCTCGAATAGCTGGGACTACATGCATGCGCCATCATGCCTGGCTAATTTTTCTATTTTTATTAGAGATGGGGTCTCACCATGTTGGCCAGGCTGGTCTTGAACTCCTGACCTCAAGTGATCCACCTGCCTTGGCCTCCCAAATTGCTGGGATTACAGGCACTAATTATGCTTTTTTATATTAGTTGACAGAATTTCAACATACAAAGTACATAAATCAATTTTCACTCCAGTTACAACTAGCATGCTGACCTTTATTTGAAAGTAAATACTCAGGCCAGGTGAGATAGCTCAAGTCTGTAATCTGTATTCTTAGTACTTTGGGAGGCCGAGACTTGAGGATTGCTTGAGCCCAGGAGTTTGAGGCCATCCTGGGCAATATAGACTCCCATCTCTAGAAACAAATTTAAAAACTAGCCGGGTATGATAGCTTGTGCCTGTGGTTACAACTACTTGGGAGGTTGAGGTAAGAAGGTGAAAGGATCACTAGGCATGGTGGCTCACACCTGTAATCCCAGCACTTTGGGAGGCCGAGGTGGGAGGTTCACCTGAAGTTAGGAGTTGGAGACCAGCCTGGCAAAGATGGTGAAACCCCCTCTCTACTAAAAATACAAAAATTAGCCAGGCGTGGTGGCAGGCAGCTGTAATCCCAGCTACTCAAGAGGCTGAGGCAGGAGTATCGCTTGAACCCGAGAGGCGGAGGTTGCAGTGAGCTGAGATTGTGCCATTGCACTCCAGCCTGGGCAACAGAGACTTCATCTCAAAAAAAAAAAAAAGAAAAAAGGGTGAAAGGATGACTTAAACCCAGGGTGTCGAGGCTACAGGGAAATTCAGAAATGCCACTGAAGGGCCAGGCGTGGTGGCTCACACCTATAATCCCAGCACTTTGGGAGGCAGAGGTGGGTGCATCACCTGAGGTCGGGAGTTGGAGACCAGCCTGGCCAACATGATGGAATGCTGTCTCTACTAAAAATACAAAAATTAGCTAGATATGGTGGCATGTGCCTATAATCCCAGCTACTTGGGAGGCTGAGGCAGAAGAATCGTTTGAACCCGGGAGGCAGAGGTTGCACTCTGCCTGGGTGAGCACCATTGCACTCCAGCCTGGTTGACAAGAGTGAAACTCCATCTTAAAAAAAAAAAAAGCCACTGAAGCTGGTCCCCGGTTCTCTCGCATTCCAGAAGCAAAACAGATTTTGACCAGATAATGAGTGTGTTAAAATTTCCGATTCATTCGGAATTTGTGTTAGGGTATGGTATGAGGTACGAATCTAATAATGTTTTCCTGGTAGGTACCCAGTGGTCCGTAGAACTGAACCTGCCATCTTTTTACCAATGATTTATGAGGCCACCTTTATTATAAATTAAACTCTTGTCTATTTCTGGACTTTTGGTTCCTTTGTTCTTATAACCAGTAGCATATAATTGCTCATTGTTGAGGCTTTATAGCAGTGTGTTCTGATCTCTTCTTTTACAGAGTTCTTCGGGTCATTCTTGTTTCATCGTCACAGGATCTCTCAAATCAGTCCAATTTACTTCCCCAATAGAAACCTATTAAGATGGTGTTAAATTTATCAGTTTAACTTCTGGAGAACTAATTTCTGCGTGATACTGGGTCTTCCTCTATATATACTCAGCATGTGTGCATTTCTGCAAGCATTCTGTACCCTACATATGTGAACCTTTTACCTTTTTTGTTTGACATGTCAACCTTAGGGTCGTTTTAACTCTTTCTGGTGTTGTACTCCAAAGTATTATCCCTTTGTTATTGGTGGTAGTGTGTTTTTTTGTTTTTGTTTTCGTTTGTTTTTTGAGACAGGGTCTGGCACTGTTACCCAGGCTGGAGTGCAGTGGCATAATCATGGCTTACTGCATCCTCGAGTTCCTGGGCTCAAGGAATCCTCCTACCTCAGTCTCCGAGTAGCTGGGACTACAGGCACACACCATCATGCCCGGCTAATCTTTTTACTTTTTGTAGAGACAGGGTCTCACTATATTACCCAGGCTGGTCTTGAACCCTGGGTTTCGAGGGGTCCTCCCACCTTGGCCTCCCAAAGTGCTGGGATTATAGGCACGAACCGCTGTGCCTGTCCCTTTGTTGTTTTTAAATGGTACTGTGGTAACTTGATCCTATCCACTACTAAAGACCCTGTGAGGGTAGGTACTCCTATGAGTCTACCTAGACATAGAAGGATATATTAAAGAAATGAACTGATGCAGCCATTGATCAGTGCAGTTATGAATTTTGTGATTGAAGGAACTGAGGATGAGGGAGATCGAGTTGCCCAATGATACCCAGTGAGTTCTAGGTGGAGGAGGAGCTGGGTGTTAACTCCTGAGTTCCTCTCCAAACACGTGCTTCTAACCACCGTGGGATATAGTTAACAGGATGTTAAAGGTCTGGGGACAGACACAGGGTCAATAATAAAAATTGCTGACATTTCTAGATGTGTGCTTATGTGTAAAACATCTGTTGTGTGCTTCCTGTATGATTTTTTCTTTTTTTTTTTTTTTTTTTTTGGAAACAGTCTTGCTCTGTTGCCCAAGCTGGAGTGCAGTGGTACGATCTCAGCTCACTGCAACATCCACCTCCTGGGTTCAAGCAGTTTTCCTGCCTCAACCTCCCGAGCAGCTGGGACTACATGTGTGCGCCACCATGCCCGGCTAATTTTTGTATTTTTAGTAGAGATGAGGTTTCACCACGTTGGCCAGGCTGGTCTTGAACTCCTGGCCTCGAGTGATCCACCCACCTTGGCCTCCCAAAGTGCTGGGATTACAGGCGTGAGCCACCTCGCCCAGCCTGTATGACTTCTTGCCACCCCTGCCCCACCATAACCCTTCAGGAAGGTACTATTACTACCCTTGCTTTGCATGAGAGAAAACTGAGGTGCAGAGAAGGTGGTTTTCCCAGAATCAAAGTAGATTGTTTTGTTACAGCACTTTGCAGTGCCTTTACCACAGTGTCTGTGCCCTTCACAAGAAGGGGTTGTGAGCAGGGCAGTTGGGCTGGTACTATGCATTTTGAACTTCCACTGAGAGGTTAAATATGATCTCTTCTACCTGCTGAAATGCATCTTATGCCCGGCACAGTGCCTCATGCCTGTAATCTCAGTAACTCAGGAGGCTAAGGCGGGAGGATCGCTTGAGCCCAAGAGTTTGAGATTGCAGTGAGCTGTGATTGTACCACTGCACTTCGAACTGAGAGACACAGCTGTGTCTTTAAAAAAAAAAAAAAAAATCGTGCTACTGTATGTGTTTTTTATTAGGTTCTTTTTCTTTCTTTTTTTTTTTGAGATGGAGTCTCACTTTGTTGCCTAGGCTGGAGTACAGTGGTGCAATCTCGGCTCACTGCAACGACTGGCTAATTTTTGTATTTTTAGTAGAGACAGGGTTTTGCCATTTGCCCAAGCTTGCCAGGCTGGTCTTGGACTCCTGACATTGGCATTGTGAGCTTGCAAGAGAAGATAGAGCATACTGCTCTTTTCAAACACATGCAGTCCTGATAGGGCTTTGGCTTGTTGCTGAGTGCTGTGTGGGCGGCACCTTATTTAATCCTCAGGACAGCCTTGTGTACCCCATGAGCTATGATGAGTCCTATTATGCAGGTGAAGAGCCCATGCCCCAGCAGGTTAAGGGACTCGTCCCGCTCTGTGGCATCTAGGAGGTTTGGTGCTGGGACTTGTGTCCAGGTGTGTCTGACCCTTCACACCACCTGGATCCGCGGTGCTAGAGGGATGTCCGCAGTTTGTCCTCTTGGATAACTCTGCTTTTCTCTTCCCCAGCGCCACGATCATGTCTCTCGAAGACTTTGAGCAGCGCTTGAATCAGGCCATTGAAAGAAACGCCTTCTTGGAAAGTGAACTTGATGAAAAAGAGAATCTCCTGGAATCTGTTCAGAGACTGAAGGATGAAGCCAGAGGTCAGGAAGCCTTGGTGTCTTCACCAGCATGGTCCCCATTCCCTGCCTGAGCAACATCTAGTCCCACGGCCCCTCCCAGCATTATCTTTACAGGGACCCTGCACCCTGCTCTGTGCCCAGGCTGTCTAGTGAGAGGGTGTGGGGCTGCACCGGGCAGACTCTTGCCTTGGGCCCTGGCCGGAGCTGAGAACAGTAAGACATGCAACCCTGTAAGGGCCCCTTATGGATATTTAGAGAAATAGCTTTGGGGTTCACAGATGAAGTCCTTCTGTTGGGGTTCTGCCTCTGGGCAGCAGAATTTCCAGTTTCCAGAAAGGTGCTTCCTGGTCTGTAATTCACACATACAGCAAACCATCGTGATGCTCAGTAGGAACAGAAGAGTGTTGTGGGGAGAGCCTGGCACGGTGGGTCACACCTGTAATCCCAGTACTTTGGGAGGCCGAGGATCTCTTGAGCCCAGGAGTTTGAGATCAGCCTAGGCAGTATAATGGGACTCCATCTTTACGGAAAAAAAATTACATTAGCTGGGTGTGGGGACATGTGCTTGTAGTCCCAGCTACTCAGGAAGCCAAGGTGCGATTGATCACTTGAGCCCAGGAGGTGGAGCGTGCCACGAGCTATGATGGCACCAGTGCACTCCAGCCTAGGTGACAGAATGAGACCCTGTCTCTTAAGAAAAGATTTTATGAGGAGAAATTTCTGGTGGAATTGCCAGCTAGCCTATTATTTCTGTGACTTGATGGCAACCGATATATTTGGTTTAGAACTTGGAAACCTCATCAGCATTTGCTGTTTAGCAGTCGGCACTTGCAGAGGTAGAACGTTCAGACTGTAATGAGGTATTTGGCCAAGCACAGTGGTTCATACCTGTAATCCCAGCACTTTGGGAGGCTGAGGCCGGCAGATCACCTGAGCTCAGGAGTTCGAGACCAGTCTGGACAATAGAGAAATCCCATCCCTACTAAAAATAGAAAACATGAGCACGGTGTGGTGGCGGACGCCTGTAATCCCAGCTGCTCAGGAGGCTGAGGCAGGAGAATTGCTTGAACCCGGAAGATGGAGGTTGCAGTGAGCCAAGATTGCATCACTGCACTCCAGCCTAGGTGACAGAGTGAGACTCTGTCTCAAAAAAGAAAAAAAAGACATTCATTAGTGGATTGTCCAAATTGTTTTTACCCTATCTTTTTTTTTTTTTGAGATGGCGTCTTCCTCTGTTGTCCAGGCTGGAGTACGGTGGTGCTATCTCTGCTCACTGCAACCTCTGCCTCCCGGGTTCAAGCGATTCTCCTGCATCAGCCTTCCGAGTAGCTGGAACTACAGGTGTACGCCACCGTGCCTGGCTAATTTTTATATTTTTTAATAGAGACGGGGTTTCACCATGTTGGCCAGGCTGGTCTTGAACTCCTGACCTCAGGTGATCTGCCTGCCTCGGCCTCCCAAAGTGCTGGGATTACAGGGGTTAGTCACTGTTAGCAGCCCAATAAATTGTTTATAACATCAATTTGCTTTGTAATGTGTAACCAGTAGGTGGGGGATGAAAAGTAAAAATTCCTAAGTTTAATAAAGTAGTTGTTCCTAGATGTCCATCAGTAATGAAGTGGTTAAATGAAGTACATAGATTTATTTTGTGAAATGTTAAAAAATTGTTAAAATGAACAATATTGTGGTAGGAAGATTGTCAAGGCTAGGCACTGTGGCTGATGCCTGTAATGTCAGTGCTTTGAGAGATGGACGCAAGAGGATTGCTTGAGCCTAGGAGTTCAAGATGAGCCTGGACAGCATAGTGAGAGCCCATCTCTACAAAAATGAAGTGTAAAAATTAGCTAGGCCTGGTGGCATATGCCTGTAGTCCCCACTACTTAGGAGGCTGAAGTGGGAGGATGGCTTGAGCCCAGGAGTTCAAGGTTACCTTGGGCTATGATTGTGCCACTGCACCCCAGCCTGGGTGACTGAGTCAGACCCTGTCTCTAAAACAAAAAACATTGCCATGACATACCACTGAAGGTGGGAGAGTAAGTCATACACAGGACAAGATATTGTATGTTTCCAGTAATGCTTAATAAATTTTCTTATTTTATGCTCAGTAGATATATATGTATGTTATAAAGTTTATGTTTGAAAATGGAGAGAACAGCCAGGCACAGTGGCTCACGCCTGTAATCCCAGCACTTTGGGAGGCTGAGGTGGGTGGATCACCTGAGGTCAGGAGTTCGAGACCAGCCTGG